CTTCCCCAGCACTTCATTCCACCTGCCTGGCCTCTGTAGAAGCTCAAACCAGCAGCAAAGGTGTTCAGGCAGTTGGTACAAAATCCTGGAGAGGATTTTTACTTTCTGGAATTAACATCGCTGTTAAAAACCTTCAGCTGACGGTGTTGAAAACAACTGATGGAGATGAAAACTGATTAAGTATTCACAAATATTTTACTATCAAGTGATCAGAGTGGTTGGTATAGTGTAGGGGGTAACATCTCTGCCTTCCATGCTGTAGGCTGGGGTTCAATCCCTGCCTGGGCAAACACCCTATGCTTTACCAAGAAGAATGAACAAATAACAATAATGAGCTCTTTTATTTATTATTTTATTAAAAGGTACTTTACAGTACTAGTGATTGAACATGCTGTGTTGAAAGCAGGTTTGTATTAATATTTGTATGATTTAAACTCTATTCAGTTTTCTATAATCATTTAGTATTTTGTGAAATGAGGTTCCTAAAAGTGACTCATGATAATTCAGTATTAAGGCACGTTCTTACCTTAAATCTTCAATTGATTGACTGTGTTTCTCCATCTTCAATCTAAAAATTTAACACAAACAAAAAATAATGAAGAAATGCGACATTTTCTTGTAAATACAGTGACAGTAAAAGCTATAAACTGTATAAATCTGTCCACAATCATTTAGTATTATGTGTGATATAAGCAGTGAAACATAGTCAAAACACTATTTTTAAAAGGAAATCAGATCAGATTTACCGAACTGCTGTTCCAGTGATTGTTGTGGATTGTTGTGGATTGTTGTTACTGAAAGCTGTAAAAAAATGCTCACACATTACTGAAGCTGTCACTCACCAATGGAGGAGAACACAAAACAGTGAAAGAGTAAAAGACAATAATGCAGACAGTAAATATTATAAATTAGTCTGAACTGTGTGAATGTCAGTATCTGCTGTGGATCTGAACTGTGTGAATGTCAGTAACCGCTGTGGAACTGAACTGTGTGAACGTCAGTAACTGCTGTGGATCTGAACTGTGTGAACGTCAGTAACTGCTGTGGATCTGAACTGTGTGAACGTCAGTAACTGCTGTGGATCAGAACTGTGTGAATGTCAGTATCTGCTGTGGATCTGAACTGTGTGAACGTCAGTAACTGCTGTGGATCTGAACTGTGTGAATGTCAGTATCTGCTGTGGATCAGAACTGTGTGAATGTCAGTATCTGCTGTGGATCTGAACTGTGTGAATGTCTGTAACTGCTGTGGATCTTATTGAATCTTAGCCCTCTGGACCGGCTTCACCATCTTTGCGTTTCATGCTGTACAACGCTGTGCAATCCTCACCCTCTGATGCTGCCACTGCATAATCATAAACTAATCAAATTAACCATTGCCCCACCTGTTTTTCCTGCTTTGTTCTATAATACTTTATACTAACAATGTTTGCTATCCAGTGTCGACCAGAGGAGGATGGGTTCTCCTTCTGAGTCTTGGTTCCTCTTAGGGTTTCTTCCTTTTGCTCTTAGGGAGTTTTTCCTTGCCACTGTCGCCACTGGCGACGCTCATGGGGGCTCAGAACCAGATTTCTTTCTGTAATGCTGATTTTTCTGTACAGCTGCTTTGTGACAACACCTGTTGTAAAAAGCGCTGTATAAATAAACTTTGCTTGCTTGCTATTCTGTTCTAAGCTACATATGCATATTATATCTGCTATACTATACATAATAAATAAGTGAACAATCTGCAATATTAATTAGTAGTTGAAATGCAGTTAGTGACTCTGATGACTCTTTGGGTACTGTTGATGACCCACTGCAGGGCATGTCCCTCCATGGTGGTGCAGCTCGTGTGCCAGGTTGAAATGCAGTAGGTGAGAATGCTTTCAATACTGCAGTGGTAGAAGGTGACAAGCAGGTGTCTGTTGAGATTTACTTTCCTGAGTGATCTCAGAAAGTAGAGTCACTGTTGTCCCTTCTTTGCCAGTGCTGTGGTGTTGGAGAGTGGAGCATGTCCATCCCTTCCTTTCCTGAAGTCTGAGCTTTCCTGAAGGATGAGCTCCTTGGTCTTGCTGGTGTTAAGAACTAGGTGTCACAGTGGTGTCATCCGCATACTTGATGATGGTATTTGTACTGTGGACAGGAACAGTCATAGGTCAAAGAGTACAGAACTGGGCTCAGTACACAGCCCTGAGGAGCGTGAGTGTTCAGTATCAGTGGGGAGGACTGGTATGTCCCCAGCCTGACTGACAGAGGGCAATTGGTCAGAAAGTCCAGTATCCAGGTGCAGAGGTGTTGACTGAGGCCCAGGTTCTGAATCTTGGAGGCGGGTTTTTGGGGAATCGATGTGTTGAATGCTGCATTGTAATCAATAAACAGCACTCATATGTGTTGGGGTGCTGAAGGTGGGATAAGGTGATGTGAATCCATATTTTTGTATCCATAAAAATACTCAAATAGCCGTATCACTGGTAATGCAGCTCATTATCCATATTTTCTAATATGGTTACAACCAGATATATTGTAGCACTGGCTCATTAGGCCATGGACGCATAGGAGGCATGGCCATGCAGAGTGACCCTGCAGAGCGGCCATGCAGGAGGCGCCTCATTCACGGTAGGAGAGACTGTTCTCTGTAAATAAGTTGATGTTGTGGAATTACTAATGCAACAATGTTATCTGTGATTTTTCGTGCAGGTCTCTGCATTACAGTGTCTGTGTATCTACCATGAATGTGAGGTGTACTGTTAGAAATGACCTGCCTGCTTCCTGGCCATATCAGCCAGCACTGGGTGGCAGTTCTCCCCTGTTGCTGTATTTAAGCAAGGGCATATGCCTCAAAAATGCTATGTTTTCTGTGCCTGCTTCTCCACCAGTGATACAATATTAACTGCGTCACAAGGCTAGCTAACTTTGCAGTGGTCTGCAGAAAAGAACTCAGGGGAGCTGTGTGTAAAACACTTAAAATGAAGCCTCCCCAAATCAATTTCTGCTGCATTTTTGTGACTCTTGAGTGTTTCATAAATATTTCGTAAATATTTCTGTGCACGTTTGAACAGCTGCTCCATGAGGGGGGAGATGACAAAGTGGTTTTACTCAAGGGATGAAAGAAAGAAAAATGGCATTATTGCACTCACTGAACAGTGGGGGGTGCTGTAGTACTGAATTTGACCCTTTTAGGTGCTATGTTAAATGTAGGTGTGTTACACATTGAAGAAGACGGTCCCTTACAGTTAACCCAATAACATTTACTGGTTATTGTGTTAAATGTGGGTCACTGGGTTAAATGTAGAGGACTGCCTTCTTTGTCTTCCTTTGATTGTTTCTCATCGGTCATTGCAGTCATTAGTTGGTAAGACAGGCCTCTCCTCTGTGGTTTGGGTTCAGGTGTGACAATAGTTCTTATATTTATATGTTTAGCCACAAAAACTGTCTTAGCTCAACCAAAACTTGTCTTGTAAATATGAATTACAAGATTAAAAGTTGTGTGATTTAGATGTTGTAACAGATGTTATTTTCATATTCAGAACAATGTAACTGATCTTTATTCAGCAATTAATGTTTGTTACAATGTTCCTTGCACTGTAAAACAAAGTTTTACCACATGTTGTTTTATATGAAACATGTAGAAAGGAATTATGAATCTTATTGGGCCAGTGTCTGGTCTCTTCCAGAGGAAACATGGTTACTGTGAACCCCTTGCAAAACATCATAAACAAACAATTTTCTGTTATGTAAAACGGCAAATTAAATTGAGCTGTGACTTTTTACTGTTTTATTTCTTTAAATAAGATTTTATTAACCTATTAACAACTGTAAATGTTTGTATGAACATAAATCTTCGATAGAATACTTTAATTGAAATGTGTTTTTTTCTGGCTGGAAAATATGAGGAAAAGAATGGAAAATAATTGAAAAAGGTTTAAATAATCAAGAAAAGTAGCTTTTATTTTACCTGTACTATTTCTGGGAATGATCTTCTGTCTGAGATTCTCAGCAAGCTGGTTCAGCTTCATCTCCTTCAGGATCTTCAGGGTGATCTCCACAGCTCCGTTTGGGCCGTAAAACTGCACCATCTTGTCTACAGTGCCAAATTGGTCAATGTTCCCCACCTGACCCCTCGGAATGCATGAATCATCATCATCATCATTGATCAGACACCACTGGAACTTCTTCAGTTCCTCTTTCTGCAGATCTTCTAGAGTACCCAGTAAAATCCTTGTTATGTTCGCCATCTTTCATCACTGTACATGAAGAAGCACAACAGACTCCAGTTTTATGGGGGTTCTGTGATCTCATTAATTAAAACCAGAAACACAAAATATTAGATATTTAAAAACACTGAGTATGCTCCTCTGCACACGGTTTCCTCCTTAAAATCACACTTTTCTTGAGAACATGAACACATGTACATCTCACCCAGTTACCTCCCACAATTATCTAAAAATGGATTAAATTCCACTGCATGTACACAGACTGTCATAATCTTACTTAAAAATCTTTAAAAACTTTCATTCTGTCTCCTTTGGGACGTCTTTGGAACATCAGACAAAAACATAAAAATTTCCTGTTTTGATCAGTCAGAACCTCCAATCAGTGTTCAGGTTCCTCAGTCTACTGTTCTACTGATCACTCATACACTCATACACATTTTTCTTCTCCCAGCAAGTTTAAATCTTCTCTAAACTATAACTGTGTCCAAAACCACATACTACAGTAATGAACGTAATACTGTTATTGAACTATTCTGACATATTTATTATGGTAGAATATGGTTGTGGATACAGTGTAATGTGACATACTGCCACTCTGTATCAGTTCTGAGCCTTTTGTTGTGTCATTTGTGAATTTAATTCTGGTCTTGACCTGGATTTTGCCTTTGCCCTTTTGTAATCACTGTATTTGGATGTTTGTGGATTGTTTTCTTTTTTTTTTTTGGCTGACCATTTCCACTTTCTCTCATAGACTCTCAAACTCTGCATTTGTATCTCAGTCCTGTGTCTGATATATATGTACATATATATATATATATATAAACACACACACTATATTGCCAAAAGTATTCGCTCGTCTGCCTTCACACGCATATGAACTTGAGTGACATCACATTCTTAATCCATAGGGTTTAATATGATGTCGGCCCACCCTTTGCAGCTATAACAGCTTCAACTCTTCTGGGAAGGCTTTCCACAAGGTTTAGGAGTGTTTATGGGAATTTTTGACCATTCTTCCAGAAGCGCATTTGTGAGGTCAGACTCTGATGTTGGACGAGAGGGCCTGGCTCTGGTCTCCGCTCTAATTCATCCCAAAGGTGTTCTATCGGGTTGAGGTCAGGACTCTGTGCAGGCCAGTCAAGTTCTTCCACCCCAAACTCGCTCATCCATGTCTTTATGGACCTTGCTTTGTGCACTGGTGCGCAGTCATGTTGGAACAGGAAGGGGCCAAACTCCCCAAACTGTTCACACAAAGTTGGGGGCAGGAAATTGTCCAAAATCTCTTGGTGCTGAAGCATTAAGAGTTCCTTTCACTGGAACTAAGGGGCCGAGGCCAACTCCTGAAAAACAACCCCACACCATAATCCCCCCTCCACCAAACTTTACACTTGGCACAATGCAGTCAGACAAGTCTCCTGGCAACCACCAAACCCAGACTCGTCCATCGGATCGCCAGACAGAGAAGCATGATTGGTCACTCCAGAGAACACGTCTCCACTGCTCTAGAGTCCAGTGGCGGCGCTTTACACCACTGCATTCGACGCTTTGCATTGCGCTTGGTGATGTTAGGCTTGGATGCAGCTGCTTGGCCATGGAAACCCATTACATGAAGCTCTCTACACTGCTCTTGAGCTAATCTGAAGGCCACATGAAGTTTGGAGGTCTGTAGCGATTGACTCTGCAGAAAGTTGGCGAAGGTGAGTATAACCCTCGCATTTCTGCAAATATTTTATTATATCTTTTCATGGGACAACACTTTAGAAGACTATAGAACTATAGAACTTGGATATAACTTGAAGTAGTCAGTGTACATCTTGTATATCAGTATAGATTTACTGTCCTCTGAAAAGAACTCAACACAACCATTAATGTCTAAATAGCTGGCAACACAAGTGAGTACACCTCACAGTGAATGTGTCCAAATTGTGCTCAAAGTGTCAATATTTTGTGTGACCACCATTATTATCTAGCACTGCCTTAACCCTCACCAGAGCTGCACAGGTTGCTGCTGGAATCCTCTTCCACTCCTCCATGATGACATCACGGAGCTGGTAGATGTTAGACACCTTGCGCTCTTCCTCCTTCTGCTTGAGGATGACCAGTAGGTGCTCAGTTGGGTTTAGGTCTTGTCGGGACTAAGTGCGATTCATGCTCGCTCAGAGCCCCAACATATGGATAAATTATACTAATCTGTTCTATAACTATGTTTTAGTTTTTTAATAAATCTAGTTGCTTGTTCTCATCATAAACGCAAAATAAAATAAAGTTCAGTCAAAAATAAAAGAAAGTTGAATAAAAGACTTCAGCCGTTGAGTTCTTTGTGAAGGAAGGAAAAGGCCCACTCTTCATTTATTGAGCTTCAGATGGCAAGATGGCTCCTGGACAGCCAAATGCAAAGTACAATACAGAAACATCATTTTTATACCCTCCCTCTCACCTTTTCTCAGTTCACTTTGGTTCACATTGTTTCCCATCCTTACACTTCAGTTGGAAACTCTTATTTCCACACGTGTCCTTGATTTTTTAAAAACTTGCATGCTCAGCTGTCCTAAGCTGCCCTCTTCTCAAGGTTTTTAATTAAATTGTATCTTTTTAAACTGGTTCCAACACTGATACTGTTTAGTTTCCTATCAGCTTTACCTCCCCTCTCACAGGCCAGCTTGTTCTTGCAACAAAGCACACTAGCTTCTAGCTCTAACTTCTAGATGCTTCTAAACTTCAGGACTTTCTCATGAGAAAATCCCCTATCTTACACACAGCATGGCCTTTCCTTAGTGAGAGGATTAATACACTTTTGTCACTGAACTTTTAGTATATGATTATGGATTTCTTATTGATTATAATGGTAATATATTCATTATCCCCACAGTCTGGAGACATACTTGGCCAGTCCATCACCTTTACCTTCAGCAAGGCAGTTGTCATCTTGGAGGTGTGTTTGGGGTCGTTATTGAGTTGGAAAACTGCCATGCGGCGCAGTTCCCGAAGGGAGGGGATCATGCTCTGCTTCAGAATGTCACAGTACATGGTGGAATTCATGTTTCCCTCAATGAACCGCAGCTCCCCAGTGGCAGCAGCACTCATGCAGCTCCAGACCATGATGCTACCACCACCATGCTTGACTGTAGGCAAGAGACAGTTGTCTTGGTACTCCTCACCAGGGTGCCACCACATATGCTGGACACCATCTGAGCCAAACAAGTTTATCTTGGTCTCGTCAGACCGCAGGACATGGTTTCAGTAACCCATGTTCTTGGACTGCTTGTCTTCAGCAAACTGTTTCCAGGCTTTTTTGTGCCTCAGCTTCAGAAGAGGCTTCCTTCTGGGACGACGGTCATGCAGACTGAGTTGATGCATTGTGCAGCGTGTGGTCTGAGCACTGACAGGCTGACCTCCATCTTCTTCAACCTCTGCAGCAATGCTGGCAGCACTCAGGCGTCTATTTTTTGAAGCCAACCTCTGGATATGACGCTGAACACGTGGACTGAACTTCTTTGGTCGACCCTGGTGAGGCCTGTTCCGAGTGGAACCTGTCCTGGAAAACCACTGTATGACCTTGGCCACCGTGCTATAGCTCAGTTTCAGGGTGGTAGCAATCTTCTTATAGCCTAGGCCATCTTTGTGGCGAGCAACAGTTCTATTTCTCACATCCTCAGAGAATTCTTTGCCATGAGGTGCCATGTTGAATATCCAGTGGCCAGTATGAGAAAACTGTACCCAAAACACCAAATTTAACAGCCCTGCTCCCCATTCACACCTGGAACCTTGTAACTCTAACGAGTCACATGACACCAGGGAGGGACAACGACACAACTGGGCACACTTTGTACATGTTCACTGTGAGGTGTACTCACTTGTCTTGGCAGCAATTAAACATTAATGGCTGTGTGTTGAGTTCTTGTCAGAGGACAGTAAAGCTGTACTGATATGCAAGCTGTACACTGACTACTTCAAGTTATATCCCAGTTTCATTTCTATGTGAGGAGGGATGTACTCACTTTTGTGAAATACTATATGTGTGTGTGTGTGTATATATATATATATATATATATATATATATATATATATATATAAATACATATACACACACACACAGACATATTTATCTATTTATTTATTTAATGCAGTGTCATCAGAGGACCCAAAGATCACAGCCAGCAAATACTGGTTTTTGGCCTTGTCCCTTGCACACAATTTTCTCCACATTCTCTGAATCTTTTAATGATATTATGTACCATAGTTCTTTGCTATTTTATGTTGAGAAATGTTATTTTTGAATTTTTATTTGATGGTGCAGTCTTTCACAGAGTGGTGAACCCCTCCTCATCTTTACTTCTTAAAGACTCTGCCCAACTTTTTTGGAATGTGTTGTTGGCATTAAATTCAAAATGAGTACATATTTTTCAATAAATAATTGTGTTCCATAGATAAATACCACAGAGTTTTTTTTTTTTTGCTTCTTTGTCTTTTATATGCAGACCCAAGCTAGGAAGAAAAAGGTCAAAATATGTATCATAAGGTAATATTTCAGCAATACTTCAATAGGAGCGTACAGAGTCTAAAAGGGTGCTTCCTCCCACTAGATGAAGAAACAGAAAATGACACAGTAACACAAAAGATTATTCAGTTTCACAAGTCTTGAATACACGAAACTCAAATATACAACATGAAACTGTATAAATTTCAAACTGTACAACACTCATATTTACAACACTTGAATTGCACAAAGCTCAAACATCCATCAGGAGGAGCAGTGCTGGTTTATAGAGCTATGAAAGAGAACAGAACAATCTCTAATTCTGAACAGTTCTCATAAAAGCACTGTCTTCCATTACATGTACACTCTCTGCTTCAGCTAGAGTCCACACTGAATGATAATCTGCCTACAGTTTCCTTTTTACATGGAATCTGCAGAAACCAGTCAGAACACATTTCAGTCATACTGATGTACACAGCACAGCTAAAACCCCTGAGGCACAAAATACTGGAAAGAGATTATATTGAAGCACTCTTTAATTTAGAATAAGACTAATGGCCAATACTGGTTGTGTTAATAATTACATAATTACTTATGTCAGAGAATCACGTATTTCCTCAGCAAGTAATAACATTTTTCTGAAATTCTCATGAAAAAAATAATTATAGGACTCTTATCCTACCCGGCAGAAACAGGGTTTCATATAAAAAGCACGAGTCAAACAGGAGTTTATACTGTACTGGTTAGATGTTTTAATCATGGTGTTACACCTGTGTTCTTAGTAGATAAACCAGTAAATTGGCCACATCACTGTTAGTGTTTGTAGACTGTAAGTAATTAGTGCCTCTTTTAGGAATTTGACTGCCCAGAGTTGTAGCCCCTCAGGTTCCACCTGCCACCTCTTACTAAGGAGTTTCACCCCAGAACTGGATAAAATATCTGTTCCCCTTCACCTGACAGACACCTTCAGTGTTCCAGCCATCCACAAGCTCTCCCACACTGAACAAAAGAACTACAAACTACACTCAAATGTACATACTATACCTGAGAGCAGAGTCACTCTTCTTCTTTCAGTCTTCAATAAAGAAAAGGTCCAAGTCCATCAGGAGGAGCAGTAAAAACAACCTCCATTTCAGAATCTCTTTAAAATACTGTTTTCAAGTGTATGTACTCTGTCTGCATCAGCGGATTCCACATTGGATGATGATCTGTCTACAGTTTCCTTTTCTAAATGGAATCTGCAAAACCCAGACAGAACACATTCCAGTTATGCTGCACTGACTGTAAACAATGCACCTTAAAAAACCTGTAGTTTCCGTGTGGAGTTAACCCCCAGCTTTTGCTTTCAAACATGCACCACCAGAAGTAAGCTGCTCGGGCAGGAGATGGAAATCTGAGAGAGGCTCTCTGTTCATTTCTAATCCTTTCACTCCAATAATAAAGGCAGGTCTGAGCCATTTAAAATCACCTCATGATCTGTCCTCTTCCAGAGAGACTGCTCTGTCTGATCCACAGGCCTGTCAGTCACTTTTATTTTGAAGCTATAAAGTTTTTCTGTGACAGTGCAGAAAATGATGTGATAAAGCTGTGACTCCAAATACCACGCTGAAGTAGAAGCTCCTCAGTGATACAAAGCATGGAGAGGTTTCAGTTTACAATAATAACAATAATTGCAATAATAATAATAATTACATGGTAAACAGTAAGCATAAATGGTCATTTTAAACAAAGTTCAATGTTTGATGTTTAGTGCACCAAAAACAATTTACCAATAGAGACAGGCAATCCTTACACATAAGGCACTAAGGCGCCCGCACAGTCTCACATGTTCCCACTGCCCACCACACGAGAAACCAATGAGGAAGTGACCTCCAGCAGGTCCCCACTGAATACATTGGGATGACCAAGTCCAGTTTATATATACTGTCAATGAGAGTTAATTAGTAGTCTGTAACTGTCATGCCCTCAGGCAGAACCACCTTTCAGACATCAGCTTCCCTGGACTACTGATAGTTTGCCCCTCCCCTTTTCGCACACATGTAGTGTGTTCCATTCTGGAGGCAGCTGCCTAACTAGTCACTGTCTTCAAAGGCAGCTCTCTTGTTGGGCGGCATTTTAACCGAAAAAGAACCTCAGTAGGCATCGCATTCAGGACGGAGCTTCAGAGCCATCATACATCATAACTCTCACTGCGCTGTTCACGTTTCATCTGTTTACACTCACCTCTGACTAAAGGTGGATCAGCTCAGTGTAAAAGGACGGCTCTGAATCAGCTGAAGAACCGGCTGATTTAAGGAGTCGTATCTATCGTTATATACTCGACTCAGCAGCCCAGATAATCGTGACTTTTAGTTTATGAATCATTTCAATTCATTCCGTCCTCCTCCACCTTAATGAACCTGCTTCATTTCTAACACACAAAGGATAAACAGTAATGTTGCGTTTAATTTTGCACACAATGCACTCAGAAAAAGGGATCCCACGCAGTCTGTTAAGCAGCAAATATGCATTTTATTTTAGGAATTCTCATCATTTATGAGCTCCTAGTCTGAAATTTAGCCATCAGCATACATCTCACACTTCTGTGACTGTGGTAAGTTCAGCAATACAAGACAACAATAAGCATCTGTAGTATTTATTTAAAAAAACGTTCTATTTCTGAACGTCTACAAAAGAAAGTATTTTTCATCGGCAAGTCCAGCTGCTTTCGGTCATTCAGCGCAGTTTTCTCCCTGTGACTGCTCCTCTTCCTCAGCGCCTCAGACAGCACCTCAGTTCGTTCCTGAGGACAGAAGAAAACCCTAAATACTGACGTTAACCTAAACTAAACTAACTAACTAAGCTAACTAACACTGGCTTTACCGAGCCAACGAGCTACAAGCGCAGCCGATCAGGTCCCCTCAGACAAGCGAACTGCCAGAATTTCACCACAGGAACAATTTCTAGAGATCTATAAACACAAATATGTTCAATACTTTACACAAATACAACCGTTAATCTAAACAGTCAAGAGAAAAATAACTCACATTTGTAAACACCGCTTCGTCCACCACGTTTATCAGACCAGAGCGATGGAACTCTCAGCAGGTGAACAGTATTGTGGGATTGCCTTCACCGACAGGGATACATGCGATGCTGCCCTAGATTTGGTCAAAATAAGGCACCTTAGAGGGCAGCTGCCTTATGCTGCCTTCCGATTGGAACGCACCAATTATTTATGTTACCTCGTCACTCAGCCCACATCTCTGCCTGCTTTTGACTTCTGTCTGGATTTTGCCTTGTTGCTTTATGCAGCTTTTGTCTGTCTCTACTTGGACTTTTAAGTCTATATTTGCTAATTGGACTAATTGGAATTGAACCGTCCCTTTTTTATTTTCAGTGCACCCTTTACATTAGGCTAGATTATGTTAGGTCAACTGTATTTGATAGTAAAAGACAAGGTATGTTTTTGCCAATGATGACGGTAAAGTTTAAAATACTCATTGCCGTTGTTAAAAACTAACAAATATTCCAACAAAAATTTGGAAAACAATCAATCTAGAAATCAAGCAGAAGTGTAAGGTCCCTAAGGAAATTATTTTAGGCTAATTTGCACAAAATGCCTGTAGACATTAAAGTTTGGTGTGAATTATTTTTTCAGTTAACTTAAGAGTGCACATAATAAATATGACCCACATTTTATGTTTTACGTAGTTTGATTGTTTAGTGAATTTTGTAAGGGTCTTTTATTAGCTGGATATTAGCTGGTGATTTTAACTGCATCCTAAATACCAACCTGGATCAATCTTCTTCTATCCTTATGGCTAATACTAAATAGTTTAAGACACTCAGTTGAGCCTTGTCAATATTTGGAGAGAATTATGTCCTACTATTTCATTATATACTATATTTCACCCTCATCCTCTTTGTTCTGACTCTAGAATATATTACCTTTTTACTCCTACTAGCTGTGTTCATATGAGATTGTCTAATATGCTCTATTCTGTTGTGAGACTACAGCCTAGTGCATTTAAATATAAAACTCAATACGGCAAACATCTCAGTGGAGCTTTAATACTTCACGAATTAATAACGAAGCACTCTGTTTATTTACTAAGGACCCCACATCACTTTTCTCTTCTGGAGGGGCATCCATTAGGAAACTTCCCCACATTCTCACAAATGCAGGGACCCCGTTTGCAGCACTGCATCACATTTTATCCACTGGAGGGGCACATCTAGAGGGCCATTAGAGGAGCACCTAACTGGGCGCTTCATCATGTTTCCTCACCTGTAGGAGTTCCCTATACAGCACTGCTTCACAGTTTCTCTGTTTAAAAGGGCACCATTTTGGACACTGTCATGTAGGGGCAGCATAGAGGGCACTTCTTAATGGCACCTTTTTCCATTGGAATAGTGCCCACCCAGAACATCAGGTTTAGGCTATTGTAAGGGCACAGAATCACATTTTCTCCACTAGGGGGGGCTCTCACTAAGACACATCAAATTGTCTTGCTTCAGAGGGCACATCAAAATTTATTGCATGAAAGGGCACTCAATCATTTTTTCCCATGTGAAGGGCAGACAATAGGGCACTTATTCTATATTATTTTTTTTTCAATTTTTACCTCGATTTTTCTCCCCAATTTAGTCGTCTCCAATTCCCCCAATCACACGATGCTATCAACGCTAGGAGGGCGAAGGCTAACACAGGCTTCCTCCGAGACCTGTGAAGCCAACCACCGCTTCTTTTCGAGCTGCCGCTCACGCAACGTCACTGGACAGCCGAACGCGCTCGGAGGAAAGCGCCAACCGCCAGATCTGTTACGTCAGCTAACAGACGCCTGCGCTGACTAGCATCGCGCTGAGTGAGTGATGGGGGGAGAAAGGCAGCCGTCCCACCCACCCAGAGAGAGCGAGGCCAATTGTGCTCTCTCGGACTCCTGGATACGGACGGCTGTAGCATCACCAGGGATCGAACTCGCGATCTCCTGATGAGGGACAACGCTTAGACGGTTGCGTCACTCGGGAGCCCAGGGCACTTATTCTCATTATTGCCACAGTACAGGGCACTTTAGCAGCACTTTTTGTACCCTGTGTGCACTGGTGGGGGGGGTGCAGTTAATAATTAGATATATTTGGGACTTCAAAGAACCCTGCTTAAAGATTTTCACACTTTTAAAACCTAAATTTGGCAGTGTGTCTCTGCTCAGTCTGAAGGTTTATTTCTGGTCAGCTCAGATAAATAGATGTGTAGTTGGTCAGTCGGTCATAAAGGTTCACCCTCATGCAGAAGGATGAGGCAATGGCCTCGGTCACCCGCAGCTGATAGAAAGAGTCAGGTTCAGATCCCCGAAACTGTAGTGGCTGAGATAGGCACCCCGAAGCATCCAGTGCGATAACACAAATGAACACAGAGACACCGGTGGGGGCCCCTGGAAGAATTGTCTTTTATTTGTGAAGGGCAGGGCACTATGGAATGGGCTCACATGTGGTTCTTGCAGCTTCCAGTGGGCTCTTGTTGGCCCTTCAAAATTGAGGGAAGGTGGTGTAAATCTCACTTGCCACTTTTATTTATCAGTTTGATAAGATACCACTCTTATCAGACAATGCTGTAGTCTATAACATGTTGCATATCAGGAGAGATGCAAGAAAATACACATATATTACAAATTGTACATCATTATACAATTCTCTATTCACTCTACATCTTGATATGCCCTCAAAGAATAGGAGTGTTGATCTTGGAAATTGATTTATTTATTTCATTATTTACAGATGGTGTGTTGGGACAGGTTAAAGGGTCCTTTGTCATTTTTCAGCCTACTCACCATGGCGTCCACCCAAGAATGCGCTCTCCTTCACGCTGCAGTCCAGCGCTTTACCGGAAGGATGGGCTTCACCCTAGTCATCCGGGATCAGTTGTCCTTTCATGGAACATCGAGAGGGCCATCAACACAAAGTGAAGGCCACGTAAGTAGCACCAACAATAGAAACATTAAAGTTAATAATGCTAAAGCCAATACTGTAAATAAGGCAAATGCTAATAGAAATACTGATTCTAGAAATACTAATGCTCATAATGCAAATGCCAATAATGTTAATGACATTTCTAATAACCACTGTTATGTCTTATAATATTGAGACTGTGTCTGACACCCGTCTGATTTGTAGACATCGTTGTTGAAAAATCTGTCCTAACAATCTTACTAATGTCCAGTTAACTTCTCATAGTAGCAGCACCAGCAGCTCTCACATTAAACTTGGCCTACTCAATATATGATCCCTGGCACCATTTATTGTAAATGAAATAATAACTGATAACCAACTTAACACGCTGTGTCTCACA